TTGACACGTCACCCACCGAACACGTCAGCGTTACCTGGAGAGTCTGCTTAAGAACCCCTGGTCTGGCTGTCTCACCGACGACCCTTCAGGAAGCTTGTCCTCGCTGGTCCTTGGTGAAAAGGTGTCTTTCAGGTGACTGTTTAGTCCGCTTAAGCCCGGCTAGAGAGATTCCAGCTGTGGTTCGGTCGTCTTTCAAAATAAAAGTCTCCCCCAGGGAGTTGAAAAACACTTTAAAGAGACGTGTGTCTCTTAGGTGGACATGAAGGCGGCTTGCCTCTTGTCCCTGGGGCTTCAGGTCGACTCCAATTGGCATTTGAGTCAAACCTGCGGCCCGGCTTTTCTCCGGAGAGAACAGCTTCGTCCTGCTGCGTTCGCGTCAGGATGAAAACTCTGCCTGTCTCAAGGCGTCCGTCTGTTAGTGAGTCAGAGTTGACTTAGATAAAGAAAGGAAAAGAAGATGAGTGTTGCCAGTGAAGCCGTGAAGGCCATCCCTCTGCTGTTTAAACAGACATTATAATATCTTCTCTGCTCCTTTTTGCTGGGCTGTAAAAGAAACCACTGTGAACATTTATCATGATTAATTAACACTCTGTTTAAATAATCAGTCTGAACCTGTGTCCAGATAAATGCAAGATTTTCTTAAGAAAACTCAAATTAAATTACTGATGTTTCAGTAAAATAAAAACAGTGATTTATAAAAACACAATGAAAATGAAAAACATGGTGATGATTTTCTGTGCTTCATTAGTCTATTTTAGGCACGATAAAATAATAGAAGTGATTCTATATTCTTTGTGACAGTCATTATTATGATTAACAAATGCTTAAACATTCTGAATCYTGAAATGACCCATCATGGCCTAAAATAAGAGTTCAGCGGTCCTGCCAGTTCTCAGGCCTGTGCGAGACCTGCTATGTAGGCAGTAACTCCTGTTTCTTCACTCGAGGTGACCCCTACTGAAAGGTGGGTGGGATAATAGTTTGGAGTTGTAAAAATAGAAAGGAAGAAGACATTTTATTTCATATTAGACTTGGACACACAAGAATAAATAGCACATTGCATATTATTGGAAAACATGAAAGTGGAAACTGTGATTATTGTGCACAGTCAGAGACAGTGGAGCATGTGATCATGTATTGTAATAAATATAAATATCAGAGGAAAATATTAAAGAACAAGATTTTACAACAAAAGCTCCCATTTTCAATTAGGGAAATAATGAATGGAAGTTCTGTAGAAATTGTTTTCAAGGCTTTAGTTAGTTTCTTAAAAACCACAGGTTTTTTTGGTTAGGATTAAGAGTGTTTTTTTTATTTATTTTTTTATTTTTATTTTTTTTCCTTTTGGGAGCCTTCTGGCCCACACTCTATTCCGTAAGGTGGCAGTAATGCACCTAAACGTTGTTTGCCAACCGCCGTTAAACAACAATAGAAGAAGAAGAAGAAGAAGAAGAGTGGTTTTATTAAGTTGGTTTGTCGTCCGCCAATAAAATTTAAAAGAAGACGAAGAAGAAGAGTGGTTTTAAAGGCTGAGCACTTTAAAACCACTCTAAAACCTCTGCCTTTTTTATGGGACCAATGTCTCTGTATTGTTGTTGTGGTGCAATACACTAGTATATGGCAGTTCTTGCATGTCATCTGCTCATGTAGTGTTTACTATTAGGCTGGCCTGGGACAACCCTCCTCCCTGTGAGTTTTGTAAAATCTCTTAATAAAGACACCTCAAGTCCAGACACGAGATCTGCATCCTCAGTCCTGTGTGTTTTCATTACCCTGTTGTTGGACCTACGACTGAGACAAAGCTTTTAGACACTAAACAGCACAGAATGCCTTGATAGTCTTGAGATTCCCTTCTACCCTGCACAGAATCAGAACACCTTGTGCCAGATGTATCAAAGCATCTCCAGAACATGACCAAGCCTCCTCCACATTTGCGCATGAACATAGTTAATGTGATGCTAAAATGTTTTGTCTTGTTTGTCGAAAAGACATTCTCCTAGAAACTTTGTGTCCTGTTAATGTGCATTTTGGCAAATATCAGTGCTGCATGTTTAGAAATTGCTTTCATCAGTGGTGTCCTCCTCAGTCCCCATGAAGTCCACTTTGACTCAGACAGTGACAAATGGTGCAATCGGACACTAATCACCTCAGAGTTCACCTTTAATGTTTTTGGAAGTTCTTCTGGCCTCTTTTGTTATCATTTGTATTATCTGTCTCTTGATTTCATCCAGGGAGGTTGGCTACATTTCAATGAACATCTGACTAAAACAGGCAGCTGTAGTTATAGGAACATCAAGCTGTTTAGAGATGGTATAATAGCCCTTAGCTTTAACATGATTGTCAATACACTTTCTAAACTCCTGAGACAACTCTCTCCTGCTCTGTGGTCTGTTCAGCATGTTACACACTGGCCTTTCATTTTGAGGTCACATGATGAGCTGAAAAAAAACAGCACTATTTTCAATATTTTTATTTAAAACACCAACCGACTGATTACAAGATTGAAGACACCTGTGAGGCTAATTACAGGACATACCTTGATTTAACTAGGTTCTGTGGTCTTATTAATTTCAGTCTTTTCTATTCTTTTTTTCAGTGTTTGTGTCGAGATCAGCTAAATTAGTTTGATTTTAAGAAAATGGTGGCAAACAGATGTTCGAAAGCAATGACTGTTTTGCACCAATTGATTTTTAATTTTTTTTTAAAAGTGTGCAAAAATGTACTGATTTTTTAAATATTTCCCAGATAGCAAATTCAATGTTGAATTATTGTCAAAAAAGCTGATTTTAGTTTTCAATGGTTGACGACTGATTGTGAACCAACCATCAAAAAAATCATCTAATTCTAGCCAAATAACCAATGTTGAATATATGTTATTGAATCAATGCTGTCAAATTTTCTTAAGAAGAGAAGAAGAACTCTGTGAGCTTGATTCATTCTGGACTTTACTATTTGACTCATTAGCGCAACTAGTGTTTGAACAAGGACCTGCATCCACCATCCTTCCCAGGTAAAGGACTGATGAGTGAAAGGACAGGGGCACTTCAGGGGGCCAATCAGATTTCAGCTGGGCCCAACGCCCCTGTGGCCCCGCCCCTGGCATCCTTATCCCATAGAGAGGATTTATTAGATATTGATCATTTCATTTCTGAAAGGAAGAATCAAGCCTTGAATTGGGGCTTCATCTGAAACTGTCTGCTTTGACTCTAGAGTCCCATCATTGGTTGTGAGGTCTAAGAACAAGCAGAAGCTGGGGGCAATAATGGGCAGTAACAGGAAACAAAACCAAGGAAACAGAAATCCAGCTAACAGAAACGTCTCCAAGCTTTAATGTAATAAATATAAATTACATACAAAGATATTATGCTGGAATATGTGATGCTGTCTTAACACGATATATAATACCAAAACAATGTGCAGTTTTTGTTGCAACACACTTTCTTTCAGACACCCAAAAACTACAAACAAATGTGAAATATACTTTTATGCACTTTAGTGAACAAACATGGTTTATAAATGAACACTTAACTCAGTGATGATAGGGCTGTTACTGTTGGAGTCTAGTTGGTGAACTGCATTCATAATCGAGTTTTCAAAATGTCTTTAAATTTTTTTTGATAGTTCAATTTCTTTGTGTAAAGAGACGTGAGACAGTGTATCAGTGATTACGTCATTTTGACTGAGGACAATGTACAAGACATGATGTCAGAGGGATGACGTCAGCAGAGTGTGAGGAAAGTTGGGAGGTTCCTAAATGGCTCCTGTAATGTTGTGTTTTCTTTGCCTCCTGGCTACACTTTCTCTGTAGATGAGTCGGGCAACTGGTGAGAAGGCGCTGGTTCTTCAAAAACATCATCTTCCATACTTTCCTCGATGGGCTTCATTTTACTGGACAACTTGGTCTCAAGGGATTTTTCTAGAGAGACAAACAGAAAAACATAGAAATATTTAGCAACGAATGGCTAAAGTACAAATTATTCATGCACTCGGGGTTTAAAAAATTCAAAGTCCGGACTCGATCAAAATAAGTGTACACATTTCACAAAGATGAGAGAAAATTTCTGGGAAAAAAGGCAGTTTTCAGGAGTTATTCTGGACCACTGAAAGAGACGGTCATCCACTGTGTCAGTACAGAGAAATGCTTCAATTAACATACATTGTGATGAATGAGTGCATAATGTGAAACCAGAAAGCTCCATGTGTGTGCGTTTTTTTAATGAAACTCATTCGTTTCTTAATCACACTTCTTAGTGGATGTGAAGCTTCTATGAAATAAAAGTATTTTTTGAATCAACACTCCACGTCAGGTGATGAAAAATTAGGCCCCATCAGAAGATGTGTGATGATGTAAGTCTGTCATGTGAGCAGTACCCTAGGTGTTTTATCAAGCTGAGCCCCCACTACCCCTTTCCCCCTAAGCTGCTGCACTCCACACCTCTGCTTATTTTCCCTGAAAAAGTGAAGAAAACAATTAAGATATTGCAAAAAAAAAAAAACTAAAGACAACTCATTCTGCAACGTCGTTCTAATCGTTCGTTGTATTTTCCCCTCCTTATTCCCGCCCGCTCTCTTCTCTATCATTTCAAGAATATTTTCTTCTCATTCCACGGGCTGCTTCAATCAAACGCTAATAATGCTGATTTATTTCTCCTTCTCTCCTGATGTCTTCCTGCTCTGACAAAGGTCAACACTTCTGAAGTAAGATTCTAAACAATATAAAAAATCCCTGTTTTTCCTCACTCTCTCTCTCCAACTCCTTTTTTTCCGATTCTCCTGTAATGCATTAGAATTTCACTGAAAAACGTTAGTCTGTATCTAAAATAAATCTTTCTTTTCTTTGTTCAGCTCCCTCTTCTTCCCTCCTATTCCACAGTGATGACATTAAGAAGAACTGCAATCATAATGGAAATTTATATTCTCTTCTTTGTGTCTGTTTTCTCCGTTCTCTTCTTTGTCTTTCAATTTTCCTTCTTTTTGTCATTTCAGTAGCGTGACTGCATGTTTGTCAAAACACTTTGTGTAAAATGTTGTATGATAAATACCCCTACAATATTTTGATTACATGTCCCGTATTAAGTGTTTATTATTGCGATGTAACAGTGTTTATGTTCAGAACCCTTTACCCCGGATTTACATTACTTGCGTTCCGTCTCCGCTCCGCTCCGTTTCGACAGACGTGCAGGAAGCAGATTGCACGATAAATTCAGTGATAAATGTGGAAGTCACAGCAAAAAATAATTCTGTCAAAGATGAACTCCAAACACAGCTGAAAACATTGATATAAAGGCTTTTGGTATAGTTGAAACTGTCTCGCTGTTGACTTTCTGAAACTTTTAATTTCAAAATAAAATCCACGTGTATCGTGTGTGTACACATAGCTTCATGCTACATGTTTCCATCTGCTTCCCAAACAGCACGATACATTCTGACAGCATTTGTGTAGAAATATATCCGTATATTTATTAATATAGCTGCAATTTCGACATTATTCCGACAAATTATTCTGCCGAATAGTGTCTTATTTTGAAAATACGGATGTTGTGTTCGTTTCTTTTCCTGTTGGTGCGACATAATCTTTAAAAATTAACTGGCGCTGCTCCGTCGTCCGGCAAAAATAGGATCTGTTCAAATTTTGACGGATCGCTGTCCGCTCACCGCCGCCCTGCGCAGCGAGTATAAACACTCTCGTTGATTATAATGGGTGCGTATTTGCTGCGGAGGTCGGACCAGAGCGGAGCGGAGACGGAACGCAAGTAATGAAAATTAAGGGTTTTGTCATTCACACACAACATCAAGATGCAGTGCAGAACGAAATTTGCAGTTTAGAACATCCGTCTGGAGAAACACACACATGACAAACATGGGGTACGAATCGCAACTTAGTGCGCTACCTTTGCAGTTTAGAATACACACACAATAGGAAGGGTGAGTTTAAAAAAGAGCTTCGATCCTGTGTTTTATACAGAAAACACACAAACATACGCTCAAAAAATTACTCTGCGACAGTGCAGTTAGCTAAGGAGGGGAGGTGGGTGGGGGGTCAGAACACATGGAATAGGGAAGGGTTCAGCGGAACCAGTGACATCCAGGGCAGAACTCCATGTTGGAACCAATCAGACCTCAAGAGTCCAAACCAGATGTTATCAGTCAAAGCACAAGTCATTAGAGTTCAGTTCTCTGTCTCCACCCAACGCGGCCTTCAGGCCGATCTAAGCACGGATGGAACAGGGGATGGGGA